GATCCTGCATAGTGAGCTTTCTACCATCCCTCTCTCTTTCTGTGTTCTGTGCCATCAAGCTGGAACTGAGTGACCCTAATAGAGTTTTTAAAGTAAGTGTTATATTTAAGGAGTGGTTTTACCAGTTCCATTACCCTAGTCAGTTTCCATGGCTAAGTGGGGATTTGAACCCTGTTCCCCAGAGTCCTAATCCATCATTATATTCATTACACCACACTGGGAATCCTTCTATCATCCAGTTCCCTTTTTTTTTTCTTAACGTTGTGTGTGGGAGGAAATCTTAATGTGGGAGAAGCACTTCTATGTGTATACTTCAGACCACACACAGTATTTGTAAGTCTAGATTGAATTCTGTAATTAAGATAAAGGATGCATTATTCATAAAGAAAGGGAGAGTGACTTTTAATTAACCACTTTTTGTTTTATTACTACATTACAATAATTACACTGTCCACTAGCAAATCTTATTTGCCTTGCATACAGTTTACAAACTTTGGTTACTGGTCATGCTGGCTCGAGGATTCTGGGAGTTGTAATCTGATTGTTCTCCCAAAATCTAGCATATTATTTTCATTCAGCATGCTCTTGTGTATGCATGTTTAACTCCTGCTATGCTTACTCCCATGATAGCTTGTCTCCCAGTACCTCAAACTACAACTTTATTCTTAATTTTGGTATAATGAATTAGGCTCGGTCATTCTCATGAATACGATGTAACCATTCCCACTAACTGCATGTTTACATGGTTGAGAGCTTATCAATACAGTAGTGACATGGAGCCCCTCCACAATAAGGTAGTAGTTTCCACCTGCTTGGGGGACTCCAAGATATGCTGAGGCACAGGTGTTTGTAAATGAAAAGAAAAAGAAACTTCAAAACAAAAGCAAAAAAGCAGCGCCTGGCGAGGACATGATGTAGCCATCTAGAATGCATGGAATGCCGAAGGGCAAAACAGGAAGGCGAGGAGGAAGTGAGGCTAACAGCTTAGACACAGCATATTACAGGCAGCATCAGGGCTGGGGGAGTGTGGAGTCCTCCTTCTGCAGAAACTTCTGAGGGAAGGAAATGGCACTGTTTCTCTTTCTCATTCTTCACACACATCACCACCATCACTGTATAGCTCTAAAATACCAGTTTTGTGGCTATTGGCCAATTACTCTCATCAACACTCAGGTGCTACTTAGTATGACAGGTGGTGTTCTAGTGGTGGCGAAGTGAGGTAAATTCCTCTCCGCTCCTTCCCAAGACTCGACTCTGTCCTCCCTGGAGAGTTTTGGAAAACTCCTGTTTCAGGTTGGCTGGAGCCCCAAATGGGAGGATCTCTCTTAGGCTGGGAAGAGGTTACCTTGTTGTACTGGAGGCGCTGCTTGTTCTTGGTGGTATGGTCATCACTCCTACCCCTGGCACGACCTTTTGGTCTCCCTGTTCATGAGTTCCTCCCTCTGCCACCCCCAACCCACGTGTACATAATCCTGTCAATTTAGAAGAACATGTCATAGATCATGTGCCACAAAAATTCATGCCACAAGAAATCTCTAAAATACCCCCAGACACTTTGGACTGGTTCACAGTAATTTTTTTTCTAAAATGATGGCACTGTTGATAGAAAATTGGTTTTAAATGATTGTGTGTATTTGTTGTGGAGTGCAGTAGCTGTACAGGGTTACATGTTGCGAAAAGAAAGCCAAAATAGAATTATACAAGGCCATGTTTAGTTTTTTTGCAGTTTGAATCACAACTTGAATGATGCAGGATTGGGTAGGTAAATCCAAATTTCTATGTACCTGTTTCACTGTGACTTTTTTGCAATATGGGGGTGAGCACTGCAGCCAATATTGTTACTTTGGAGATCATTTACACAAACTGTATAAGCACTGTGTAATTATTACTTAATAATAATGATTATACTTAATAACAATGTGCTGTCAAGTCAATTCTGAATTTTGGCAACCCTTTTCCTACCATGTTTTCCTGAAAATAAGGCAAGGTCTTATATTAATTTTTGCTCCAAAAAACACATTAGAGATTATTTTCGGGAGATGTTGTATTTTCTTCATGTAAAACAATCTACATTTATTCAAATATGGTCCTGTCATCTTCTTCTAGTTGCTGCACAATGGTGGAGGGTGGGGTTTCACTAAACTGGGGCTTATTTGGGGGGTAGGGTTTATATTATGAGCATCCTGAATAATTATACTAGGGCTTATTTTCAGGTTGAGTCTTATTTTGGGGGAAACAGGGTATCCTGAATAATTATACTTACATGTCTTTTGTACACACTCTTAGTAAAAACGAGACACACAAGGCAATTTAGTAATAATATCAGATAATTACTGAAATATTGTTATCAGCTTCAAGAGAAAAGCAACACATAAATTTATTTAACTGGAGTTTTAGGAAGCTGCTTTTTTTGACTACACTTCCCAGATATCCCCACCAGCATGGACATAAAGGCTAAAGCATTCACAGGAACCTCTCCATTCCAAGCTCTGGATTTAATGTAAGATTGTCAAAAGTAGTAGGTAAACCAGTTTTAGGGGACGGAGATGTCTCTATTCCTGAATCATCAACACTGTGTTATTTTCTCAACAAAATGGAACAGTTTTAGGTCTTGGATTTGCAAAGAAAGGAATCATTTTAGCTTTGTAATTCACAAGGTTTTAGAACTAGGCAGATTACACTTGACGCTCACCAAACCAGAAAGCATTTTCTGAGCTGTTAATCTTTGTTTTGTATTCTCTTTGATACAGCATTAGTATGTCACTAAAATTCATTTACTTTGTGAATTACCCATCAGCCTATTTGATTTTTAAGCACAGAGTGAAAAAAAAGAGAGAGAGAGAGAGAGAAGAAAAGAGACAAAGAAAAAGAAGACCGTCTCATTCTCCTGATGGTGTCAAATGTTTTTTCAGTATCAGCCTCCTGTGTCTGGGATGCTTTTTTTGAGATGCTTCAACCTTCTGTAGGTTCTTCTAAGGTGAACTTTGTCAATAGCATTGGAGTTGTGGGACCCTTTGCTGCTCTTAAAAGACCGTAGCAAATATTCTAGCCTTACTACCCACTGGTAGTTTTTTAATTTTTTTTATTACCTAAATTTGTCCTTTCAAAATGATAAAAGGTACAGACTTTATGTCATCCATTGACCGAAATGTGTGCCTAGTTCTGTAGGGAAAATGTCTGCATAGTGTTTCTTCACGTATTCCCAGAATATTACCATTCTAGCAGGATGGTTTTGATAGGCAGGGAGAAACATACTGATGAATCACTTGGACTGTAGATCACTTCCTTCTTTGAAGGAATGCAACCTCCCTTTTTTAAAAAAAAAAAAAACACACCATAAAATTGGCACAGATAAGCATCATTAAGTGACAGACTTGGCATAGAGAAACATCCGTATAGCACAGAAGGCTAATTAAATTTAGAGATAGTGGTTTATTATGTGCAATAACTTTTCTCCATTTTTGAGACAAAGATACACTTATTTCTAGGTGGTGACAAATAGGGATGAATCTGTGCAGCAGCAGAATGAGGAAGCAAGATCCTGAGATGACTGTAACATTACAGAATGCAGGTGGAGAATCATATTTTTTAAATACTTTCTACATCATACAAGTCCTGCAGTAAGAAAACTAGCACACCAGGAAGAAGACTGGTCCTGAACAGACAAGATGTGTGCTTTTAATTAGAGGAGGGGGGGGAGTGGGATCATGAGTGTAGGGAGTGTTTATCAAAAAGTTACATTCTACATTGTCATGTCAGGATTCTACCCTCACATTCTGCCGCCTGGGGAGATGGAGCCTCATGGATACGAGGAGGGGCACTTTCAAGCCGTGCAAATTTCAATGGCAATGCTTTAACTACCATACGGAAAGTATGATGTGGCTTGGCTAGAATATGGAATCACAGAAGGGACATTTTGAGGCCCTCCAGTCTCGCCCTCTGCTGAATACAAGAATCTCCCCAGCCACAGCATTCCTGGAAGCTCCTCACTCTCTATGCAAACTCTTGCAGTGAAAGAAAGCCTGCCAGCTCACGAGGCAGCCTGTTTCTACTGTCAATGAGGAAAAACTTGGGACTGTCCTCTTTTTGAGGATAGGGAGTTCTGCAAATTTTACTCTGGAATGTTTATCTGTCCCAAGCTCTGCACTGAAGCTGCTGTTGTTAGATAATTTTTAATATCAGAGGCCACACCTGTGACTCTAAAGAGCTACATACACAACGTAGGCAAGCATGGGCTTCCAGGAATAGAAGTGGTCCCTCCTTGGTTAGGATTCCTTGCACAAAGGGTTGAGATGAACACAGCCCTTGGCAGAATTCCTGCATGTATTAAATGCCAGGCAGTATGTATCAAATTCAAGACATTGAAACCTTGAGTAATGCATGCCGTTGCATGCTTAAGCCATGTACAGTACACAGTCCTATGGCTGGGCATAAATCCTGTAGAACTCATCTTGGTTTCTCAGGAAATGTGGATCAGGCTATAAAAGACAGCAAGCCTGATTAATATTCAAGGAGGAACATGGTCTGTCTAATTACAGCTCAATCATCGCTGCTGAGCAGTGAAGCCCTACTGAGTATTTAGTGAGACTCAATCCTCCCCTTCCCTGCATGTTTGCAAGATTTAGGACTCCAGCCTCCTATAAGCAATCATCACTGCTATTCACTCCTGGGCACTAGAATAGGAACCTTTTAGTCCCTCAGAACAAGTTCCGTTGCGCAATCCAAGCAAAAAACCCTGGGTCTGAAATACAGGCCTTCTATGGCATGAAGAGTCGTAGGTATTTTCTCCAAGTTATAGTCATCTTGGAAGTGCAAAGCTGGAAGGGACCCTAAGGATCATCAAGTCCAGCCCCTGCCAGGGAGGCCCAGGGGCTCCACAGCCAGATCCCTAAAGCACTGAGCTGTCCAGCAGTTGCTATATATTTGCTATTAAGAAAGCCAGCAGGAAAAAAGAATTATTCATTTGAAATACGGTGCCATAGGAGAGCATAGCAGACACCATGGACTGTCAGAAAGATAAGCACGTGGGCCCTAGATTAAATCAAGCCTGAATTATCTCTGGAGGCAGAAATCTTGAAACTGAGGCTGTCTGGGCCCATCATGAGAAGGCAGAATTCTTTGGAAAGGAGAACAGTGTTGGGAAAGGTGGAAGGCAGTGGGAAAAGAGGAAGGCCAAATACAGATTGACTTACTCCCCAGAGAAACGACAGACGTGCAGAGCAGAGCAGCTGAAAACAGGGCATTCTGGAGATTGTGCGTTCATAGGGTTGCCATGAATCGGAGGCGATTTGGTGGCAGACGAGGTCGACTTACTCCCCAGAGGAACCACAGGCGTGCATAGCAGAGCAGCTGAAAACAGGACATTCTGGAGATTGTGCGTTCATAGGATTGCCATGAATCGGAGGCGATTTGGTGGCACATAACAACCACCACCTTGCTATTCACCACCAGTTTGCTAGAAATGTCACAGGGTGTCAGAAAATACCCTGGATCTCACTCAATACCAGTATCTACCTTAACAAACTGCGGTGCCTGAGGGTTAAACATGAAATGTTGGGAGTGGGGGGAAATCGAGCGAGTAAATCCAATGAATAAGTGTCTTCTAAAATTGATATTTATAGCTCGTGCTGAGCCGCAGCAGAGAAACGGTAACGCTGATCAATGTTTAATTAGACTAATCACAGCTGTTAACGCAGTGCGATGCGATTAAATTAACCGCCAGCCTTTTGCATATCCTGGCGAAAATTCCCGTCGTCCTTCTAACCTTAAGGCTCGGTTCTTCACCAGCGGGATGAATCACCCGGGCAGATAACAGGACGAACGAGGACTGCTCACCCGCCATCCCGGGACGGGCACCGGGTCCCCGCTCGGCGCGCCCCCTGCTGGCCGCGGGCCGGAGGCGCCCCTTTCGCCCTCGGGATCCCCGCTCTCGGCCAGGTCCGCGCCGGGGAGGGTATTTGTTTTCCTGTGGAACCGGGCCCCTGCCTGGCCAGACGGCGTCTGCCTCTGAAGCTCGCGCGATTTCCTCTCCCGCCGGCCCTTATCTCGCTTTGCACGTTGCCTCTCGGTGACTAATAACACAATAACATTGTCTCAGGATAAAATAAAGTCGGAGCTGTTTACCTCGCGCTATAGGGGCGCGTATAAAAGGAGCGGCGGCGCGCCAGCCCGGCCACAAGCGCTCCGAGAGCCGCCCGGCAAAGAGCCCCGCTCGCCCCGCGGCTACCTCGCGGATTGTCAGGGGTGTGTGTGTGTGCGTGTGTGGGGGGAAGGCTCGCCTCCTCCTCGACCCAGGCAGCCTGCCGCTCGCTCGCTCGCTCCCTCTCTCCAGGGAGCGCAAGGGGTTTAAAAGGATCCACTGCCCTGCTCTTCCCCGCCTTGAGTTTGCCCGAGGAGTCGTCGGCTAGCCAGGCGCGCGACTGATCCTTCCCTTGCTCTTCGTGATTTGCCCGGGAGTTCACTCGGCAGGTAAGCCGCCGTGCTTTCTTCTCTTCTAGGAGAGAATCCGTGCAACTCCCAAGGTCCCATGCAAAGATGCCTTTTGCTGGTAGACTGCGCCTAGCCGAGGAAGAGGGATACCCGGATGCCACTGGTTTCGAACCCCCCCGGTGGATCTGGCCCATGGCCCTCCGGCGGGGCGCTTGCTTCGCTTTGCGCCTGAGATGTTCGGAAGTCCCAGGGCTGCGATCCGCCAGGCAGTTGAGCTAGACTAGTTGGGATTTAAAAATCGGACTCGTCCCCCACAAAAGGCTAGCCCACTCTTAGAACGAAAGGATGATCCCGTGGCGGCAATTTTAATACATTCTGGCTTAGCCGGTTCGCGGATCGAGCGATCTTAATTACTAGGATTATTACTTTTTTTCCTATTAAAACTCGGCTTCCTCTTGCCACTCACTCTCCAGGCGCAGTTTTGCTTCGTTTTAAATCTCTAGGAGTCGTAATAATTCTGCCTCGACTCAGGTAGCCCGAGGCGGTGGCCTGGAGGAGGTTTCACACCGAGGGCAACAAAATCTTACTGCGAACAGCAAACACCTCGGCCAGTAGTATCCTAGCGCCCGTCCCTACTCAGAGTAGACCCATTGTTCCAATTATCGAATGATAAGTCGACCTCGGAGCATTTGCAGCCTCAGCCTGCCGTGTATGGGTTGCAAACGCTGGCGCGCCTCACCTGCCCGCAGCTTTCGCTCTGCATCCCTAGGATCCGCCACATGGAGAGTGACCCTGTGCTGCCAAACAGGTGGATCCGGCCGCGGTCAAGAGACGATCCATCGTTCACATATTTTTTTTTGGGGGGGGGAATATTCTGCGGGACCCCGTTTGAGCCCCGGAGCTTGAAACGGTAACTTTTGAGAATGAATGAATGGCATGGCCGGCTGAAGCCATCCAGAAGCAGGCGCTGGTGGTAGCAAGAGGCTCTGGGTCCTCCCCCGCCGCGGCTCAGTCTCGAGCGCCTTCAGCGTCTCATTCCATTCATTCGTATTAAACCTGTTTCCCCAACATCTTTATATAAAAACATCTTATGAATGACGGCGCCGTGTTTCTTGTCCCCCCCCCGTCCTGCAACCTGACGGAAGCTGCTATCCTGAGTGTAATTGTGAATAAACTCGATTGCTCCTCAGTAGATTGGACTACCGAGAGCCAGTCTATCGACTGAGGTCATGGGTTCGAATCCCCGTTTGGCCGCAGAAACTCACGGGGTGCGTATGTGATCCTAAAACCGTTCTTTAAATTCCCCGCACGCCTTAAAAACCGAATGTCGGAAGCAGTCGCGATCGCTCCGGTCGCTGGGAGATTCCAGGCGTTGAAACCCAGAAAAGGACGCCTCCCGAGCCCTTCGTCTGTGGCTGCGCTGGATCACGTTCCCTGACCGCTTATCCCAACCCGGCCCGGCCGAGCGCTCGTTCTTCTTTCTGAATTAACGCGCCTCCGGTCCCCGCTAGCCGCGCCCAATCGGAGCGCTCGTCTCACTCCGCTTCTGGCCAAGCGCCACTCAGCGCCCTCCTCTCTTGCCTCCTCCAGATGCCGCCGAGCCGAGCCCCGGCGGGCTGCCCTCGAGCGCCCCCTCGCCGCTGCGCCGCTCCAAGCGCTGCTCCTGCTCGTCGCTGATGGACAAGGAGTGCGTCTATTTCTGCCACCTGGACATCATCTGGATTAACACTCCGGAGTGAGTACTGCCCTCCCTGCCTTGGAACTAAGCCATTAATGTATTTCCTTTTATCGCCCTCTGGTCGCAAGCTGCGGGGGGGGGGCTTTAATGAACCGGCGAGGCTTCCTCCCTTAAGGCAGTATGCCCGCCTATCGCCCTCTTATCGGTTTGGTGCTCTCTCCAGCGGGTCTAAAAGAAGGGCAAGGGGAACCCTAAGTGTACCTAAGAGTTAGCCTAACCTTAGGATAACTCTGGCTGGGGGAAAAAAGCGCCTGATTAACTCCAGGGACTTAAAAAGAAAATGACGCCTCCCGTGTCCCCTGATAAGTGCAATAAAAGTAGACATCAAGGCACTGCTATCGGGAAACATCACAAATAGTATAGTCTTCTTGGGCTCTCAGAGTCCGATAGAGTTGTCTCCCACGGAAAGTGTGTGCAGGGCAGCCATCTCGCCCACTTGTGACAGTAATCCCTGAAACCAACGGGATTTGGCTGAAACTGGCTCAAGTATGCAAGGTTGCAACCTGTGACATTCTGCAGAGAAACAGCTTCTAAAGGAAAGCAAAATATGATAAGAAGCCCCTTCCTAAATATGTTGGAGTTGGAATAATGTTTAAGGTTGCAGTTTAAATCCAAAATAGCAGAGCCCCATTACATTTGAATGTGGTTTGCTTCTGAGTAAGCATGAAAAAAAACTAGGTTGTAAATACACTTATTCCTTAAGCTGACCTGACCCAATTGTTTTTGTTTGCTTGCTTGCTTTCTTGTTTTTAATTCATCTGGAAATCAGAGACAGGGTCTTGTTCAGAATCTGGAAATGTTTCCTTCTTAACTCCACTTCCCATGTAAGCCAAGGGATTCTGGCAGTTGTAGTCTAAAAGGTCACCTTTTCAGTTTTAATGTTACTTTAAAAACAAATGCACTTTCCACCGAGTTGTGTAATACTGCAGTGTCACACAGCCATTTGTTCAGGTGGTGTCATGAGTGTGTGAGAGAAAGAGTCTGTCTAATGGGGCTAAAATTCATCCATGAATGAAACAGTTTGCAGAACGGGACTGAAATTGCCTTGTTCATTATAGCATTTGCTACATTCTGTTGTGACAAAATCTGGGCCTAGAGTCTTTCTGTGGACTTTTTGCTGGCTGAACATAATGTGAGGGAGGACGGTAGTTAATTGTCATACTTTGCAGATTGACAGGAAAAACAGAAGAATGTTGATAGCAAACAAATTGTGTTGTATAGTAAAACACCGTTCATAAATCTAAGGAAATCTAATTTTAAATACCTCATCTGGCTTTAGCTCAAACCATAATTGAGTTAGTGAGCTCCTTTGTTAATAATGTGCAACTAACATTTTGTACTGGGACAAACTGTGATAGACATAAGTGTTATGTTCTGTACATCAAACGACTTCACCCATTGGCTGGAATCCTACTGGTGTTTGTGTAACTTGCTGTGGCTAATTGTGGTCAATTGGCAAGGTGCCGGTGCGCATCTTGGATGGGCACTAAGGTGTGTGGACAGGTATTTGATCAAGATGTGCCCTGGCACCTTGTCAGTTAGCTGTGCGAATCTTACACAATCACTAACATGACTCCGGCCATTATGTAGAAGCAAACCTGGGGTTCCCATCCAGTCAGCACTCTTGGCAAGGGTGGGACTTCCAGTTTATAGACTGGATCCAAATTTAAATCATGCTTGAAGGAGTGAAATCAAGGAGAATTAAGATAGTTGGGGTAAAAATAAAACTCCTTGATTTCACTGCTTTTACTCTAAGCACAACTATGTCTGGATTCAACCTCTGTGTGTTTTATACCCACCTAGATCTACTTGAATCACTCGTTCTAGCCAGGAAGGGCAGCTGAGGGGCCTAATGCCGAGGGAGGCCTGGAGAGAAAGAACAAGAAACCAGGCCTTCTCGGCAATGGCCCCTTGCCTTGGGAACAGTCTCCCTTCAGAGATCTGTCTGGCTCCCTTGCTGGGTGTTTTGAAGAGCCAACTTAAAAACCTGGCTCTTTAGGCAGGCTTTCCCTCCTGTAATCACTTGACTGTTTTTATCTTTTCCCCATCTTGAACAATATTACTACTGTTCTCTATTTTATTATACTGCTTTTATGCTATTTTTTATTGATAGCTGCCCAGAGTAGACTTGGGTCTAAAGGGGCAGGGTACAAACAAACAAACAAACAAACAAACAAACAAACAAACAAACAAACAAACAAACAAACAAATAAATAAATAAATAAATAAATAATATATGATACATCATCTACAGTGTGATTGTGACTATCAGTCTAAGTTCTTTCATTTCCTAGCGGGTGGAGTTAACATTCACCAAAGTGCATCTCCTTTACTTTTTTTTTTGCATTTGCTGTCTTTCACTGGCCTATGAAAATTTGCATTAAAAGTTATTAGTCAAGAAAATCAGCAGACTTGTGATCAGCCTGAAAACAACCCTTTGTTCTTGCAGATTGAGTCAAAACAACTGAGCTCTGTCAGTCAAATGAATGGTTCTGACCCTTCTCTTCCCCCTTCCTTTCTTCATTATAGACGGACTGTGCCTTATGGACTAGGGAGTCCTCGAACCCGGCGGTCACTGGGACACATACCTCTTAGAAGCCTTCAGGGGTCAAGCAACAGATGCCAGTGTGCTAACCCAAAAGACAAGAAATGTGGCTACTTCTGCCAGATGGGGAAAGAACACTGGTATGTCTTCTTTTACTCTCTTTCACCTCTATTTTAACAAATAAAGCAGTGCATCACAGTATATTTAGTCTGTATCCCAAGTATAACTCTAGGGATTTGAGCTACTGTTGTTTAAATATTGCTGCAGATGCTGGAATAAGGGCATTTCTTTTGTGTGCAAAAGGCCAATGTTTCCATAAAGCCTCAGTTTAGCTTTAGAAAATCTTTAGCTTTAGAAAATCAGACTGGTGTTGTAGACAAAGCTTTGGACTTAAGTGAGTGTGGTAGAAACACCATAGTTCTGGCCAGGTAGAAGGGACCACAAATAGCCCATTCAATCATCCTACTCTTTGTCCAAGGGTGGGTGGAGTCCCAGGGGATCAACATGTGGGGGCTAAGGGAAACCTTCCTACACTCTGATTCTCCTGAAAGAGTCAGGGGAAAATTCCCTGGTTGTGTACTTTAAGGCTTCATGCCAACCAGACAAGGTAAATCACAAAACACCCACAAAAGTAAAACTGCCGCTTTGGCCAAGGCACCTTTTTTTAGCACACCAACCCCTTTGCTTTCACAAACCACACTTGGGTAAAATATGAGGAAAGGTTTATTTTACGAATACATCAAAAAAGGTCAAAGGCATTCTCGTAGACAAAAGGTTCAGGAACATGTTACAGGTGGCTAAAACAAAAAGAGCCACAGCATGTTCAGTAAGCAAAGCCTTAAAAACTTTAGGCATGAGAACATTTAAGAGCTTACACAGAATAAAACTCCCCAATAAAATAAAAACAACTTGCTAAGCTACTTCTAATAGTCACAAACGTGGATCTCATTCTTAAGCTATTACACAACAGGAGAACATCATTGCATGAAAGAAGGCATGGTCTGGTACCTTGTATGGTGTGATATTTCCCCATGAATCTTCTTGCCACCCTGATATGCCATTATTATTTCCTCCTAAGTTCCCCCCTCCCAAATCCTCAGATGGTTTCACTTTATTAATTGACTGTTATGGGGAAAACAGCTTGTGTCTTTGAAGGGAGGTAGGCCTGCCTTCTTTCTCCTGCATAACTGTTTCTTCAGGGAGCTGATCTCCTTGCTCAGCTTATAACTATTAATCCTTAGCTGGCACTTTCACTGCCTGCCAAGTTCTCATAGCGTGACAGCAAGGATTCAAATTTTGATTCAAATAGGAAAACAACCAAGTGTTCTTGGCTTGGAGGTCTTTCTCAGCCTGATGCGTTATAAATTTATTGAAATGCGTGATTAAAGATAAGACGTAGTGCAACATGTGTAAGCAATGCAAAATTCTCACCCATGTGCTCCTCCTTCTCTGTATAAATAGGGCTCAGTCCACCACAGAGAAGGGAAGGAGACATCTTCACAAGGACAGAGGTTGCAACGGACGTGGACTGAAATGTGTGGACCGGCAACTGGCTGGCAGTAAGAAAATGAGAAGGTAAGTTGGTTCTTTGCCTCTTATAAAAAGGGGGCTGATTAAAATAAAGAACATGCTTACAGCTGAGAACAAAACAGAGGTTTGAATCCAGACTTAGTCACATGTAGAGTAAACCAAGTGAAATCAAGGGAACTGATATTTATCACAGCTACCGTAAGTTCCATTGATTTCACTCCTCCAAGCATGACTTAAATCTGGATCCACTTAGTCAGAAAAAATACAGCTTCTCTATTCAGTCAGAACTTCAATGGCTATGCTTGGTGAGTGATTCTAGGAGCAGTCATACAAAAAAAGAGAGGAGACATTTCCAAGCTGTTGTCCTACTATATGGTAGAGTAAAATGGCTGCCTCAGGCAGTAGGTGGCTGGGAGCCAATGAGCGGTGGTGAAGTGTTAGCAAACAAGAGCTTTGTGTGGCGTACAGCCTTTCCCAAATCCTAAAATACTGGATTACATTCAATTGTGGTGGACAATGCTGCTGCATTGCCAATGTTAATGTAAAGCTCAGCTGCCAATCCAGCCAGCTTCCTATATGTGGAATGGGAGGAGAGTGACACCTTTTCCTTAATAGCAAAATGCCTTGGTTCAGCCCTGGCTTCGGCAGAAGCTGGATGGACCTTTTACCTCATAAAATCTCCCGAGCTGTTACCTGCATAGCACTCCATCCATCTATGGCACAATTTTGTGCAATCTCATTCCATTTCCTGGAAATGCAGTCAGGAAGCACTAGGAATTATTACCACATAGGAAGAAAATCTGGAAGGGCATAGAGCTGCATTTAGCTGAATTGTCTTTATGCTGAGTTGGTCGATGAGTTGATCTCATGGGCAGGTCCCGTCTAGGCACCAAATATGGCGCTCATTGTCATATCTGGTGCCAGATACCAAATCTTGTTATAACTGGGATTGTTAGTGGCATCAGAGGGGTATCGAGAGAAAGAAAGTAGCTTTCACTACAGCTTGTTGCCAGCTTGTGTGCACCCTACTGTTGCTGATAGATACAGTAGTGGATCCATAAAAGCACATCTGGCCATAATGACTTTGCTACTACAAAGTTGCTAAGTCTCTTCAGGAGAGAAAGCACTGGAGAAAATGCTCCTGTGCCATTGCTACAATAAACAGCAGCCAGACACCTGGGAATGTATTAGTTGAGACGTTTACCTCTTCTTATCTCTGTCCTAGTTAAAAAGGCCAACTTGGTAACATTATATAGGCCAGCTCATATGTAGGGCCAGAAAGGGAGAACATTCCTTTTTATTTTATTTTTTTTTTGTACTACAATTTCCTTAATACCCTAGTGAGCATAATCACTGGCTATGTGGGCTAGGTGATTCTAAGAGCTGTAGTTGAAAACAGCGGTACTTTTAGTGGGGCCATCTGCATTTTCTTATCTCAGTTTAGATGTGTGTTAATGTCGCATGATTCCTCAAAAGGTTGGATTGAAAAGCAACAGTTCTGAAAATATCTATGCATAACGAATCAGGATTACAATGAATTAATATTTTGCATTACAACAAATGTGATTAAATGAACATATGACTAAGCAGTGTAGAATGTACACACACACACACACACACACACACACATGAACATACATAAAAAAACACTCTTGATCTCTTAACGTATTTGATGATTTCTTGTTTCTGCAGGTTAGATACCATCAGTAACAGCATCAAAGCATCTTTTGCTATTGCCAAACTGAGGAGCAGCCTGCACAAACCAAAGCAGCTGAAGCATAACCGAACATATAAAAAGCAAAATGTTTGGGAAAGCCTGAAGACCACATCGTAGTGGAAAGATCACCAACCCTAATCCTCGAGTCATCAAGAATTACTGACAAAGCATTGCTGAAGCTCTGTTTTGACTTCTTAACATTCCACTCCAGGAAAAGATCAAGGAGTGTTGTTCTAAATATTAACTCTCTCAAGGTAAAGGAAGGCCCAAATAAACCTTCCATTCAGACCGAATGACAAAGCAATTAAATACTGCCGTCCTCTTGGAATTCAGTTGAATGCCTTGGGTCAAAGAACATCACTTCAGCTGATTTTTTTTCCTTTTCAATTTTGGGAGTCTATCAGATGAAGAAGGGGCAAATCTGGGCCCCAGTTCAGAAAAGACGGAAAAACTGGAGCCGTGGGCTCATTTGATATGGAAGGCTTTGGACAGAGCGGTCACAAAGTGTCCCACAAAGCTGTTTGTGATCAAGAAGGTCAGAAACTGAGAGGTCAAGGCTGGAAAGAGAAGATTGCTGTCACTGACTGTAATTCATTACAAAATGACTGTGCTACTTGGACCAGGACACATCTCGTGTGCAACAGGTCTACCTCACATGCTCTGGGTTGCACTCTTACCTAAACATTGCTGTAACTGTTATGTGACCTGAAAACATCAGTTGCAACCTTTCTTTCTTTTTGTCCTTTTTTTTTAAAAAAAGGTCATAAATAGGAGCTCACTGTTTAGTAACTCTTGAATCTTCAAGGCCAAGGATCAGTACTGTCTGTTCTCTATATGCAGAAAGGGGAAATCATCTGCAAGGTTCCATTCTAAACATGCCACAATCAGGCAGCGGGGGCAGTAGATTTCATTGTGTTCCAGTAGAGCGTACTTTCAAATGAGTGTGCTCAGTAAATGGAGTTGAGTTTATTTTAAGAAACTGCATGAATGCATCCTTTGCGAAGGCTCTGACTATGTTCAGTGGGATGTGGAGGCTTGGAAAGCCAATATTCTAATAAGAGATTCTGCTACCTGGGCCTGATCTGTAGAAATGGAGATTGTCCGGATCTCTAGATATTAGGGAATCAGGAAGGCAAGCAGTGGTTTCAAAGTAAGGTCAATGGTTAATATGAAGTGAAAATCAATAGCGGTGGGTTTATCAGTTTGTCTGATAAAAGTCTGAATTTTTTTTTGTAAGATGTGCTTTTGAAAAAAAAACCTTTCTATCTATTATCTATTTATATTTGTGGAACTGCCATTATATTTACCATGTTGAATATATATTGAAACTGGCCATATTGGTCTATGCATGTCTTATGTATTTCTGTATGAAATTGAAGAAATGGCTATGCCTGTTAAGGTAAACGTTTTTAAAATAAATATTTTTAACTATAGCATTGCTTTCTTTTATGGCAGTAATTGATTTCATTTTAGACAACATAGGATGCTAGACGGTTAGGGGGAAAAGGAGCCTTCTGCATGTTGGGCAGCAGACACTTTTAATAGTAAAACCTGAGTTCTGCCTCAAAAAAATTGAATAAAAATTGCTCACTACAAAGGGGCTGAACTGCTCTTATTCCTTCAACATGTGTTTTAGGCACAGAAACCAGCAGGCAAAACTTTTCATAACATTGAGGCATCCAATGGCGAAGGTGTCACCATCTTAGTTTCTGCAGCTCCGGCTGCTGTTAAAAGTCACAGATGCAGCAGGGTGGTTAAAAAGTGGCCATTCTGTCAGCTTGTTGATCATGTAAGGGGAGCATGTCTGGTACCCGGTCTGTAAGCAGTGACACTGGCCAGTGTGAAAACTTACAAGGGTTTAGCTTTAGCAGGTCATCTATTGAGGGAAAGAAATCCAGACCATGAAGGAAGACAGGTACCATTCAACTTGTATTGAATGTAAGCCTGAGACATTGGCTCAAACTACGATGCATCTGCCCATGGAGTTGCCACACCCTCTCCTTCAGTTGCCCACAGGGCTCCAGTCACAGCAGGGAGCATAATTAATATGCAACTATGCTTCTCTTTGCACTTTCTGAAAACATGGTGGCTGGCTCTCCAGCATTCACGGGGAGGCAAGGCCTCAGCTTTTCTAGTCAACTCAGAACAATGCTTTGGTAATGGCAAGGCAAGAGCTGCTCTAAAGTATTCTGGCCGCAAGTAACGGCAATGTAACTTGAAACTTTGAAATTTCTTTAAAAATAAAAAATTGCACTGGGCCGCATTACGAGCTGACCTGGGCCGCATGTGGCCCTTGGGCCGCGTGTTGGACAAGCCTGGTTTAGCAGGTCATCTACTGAGGGAAAGAAATCCAGACCATGAAGGAAGACAGGTACCATTCAACTTGTATTGAATGTAAGCCTGAGACATTGGCTCAAACTACGATGCATCTGCCCATGGAGTTGCCACACCCTCTCCTTCAGTTGCCCACAGGGCTCCAGTCACAGCAGGGAGCATAATTAATATGCAACTATGCTTCTCTTTGCACTTTCTGAAAACATGGTGGCTGGCTCTCCAGCATTCACGGGGAGGCAAGGCCTCAGCTTTTCTAGTCAACTCAGAACAATGCTTTGGTAATGGCAAGGCAAGAGCTGCTCTAAAGTTTTGATGTTCCAGAATTCCTTCATCAGAATCAAGAGACGTGTATGTTGGCTATGCAGAAGCAGCAATGCAGGCATAAATGTCTGCATCAGCATCTCAGTGAAAGTAGAAGCCTTGCCAAATCTTGCAGTAAAAGGGTATAGTCATGACGCTTTTGTGTACATCTCTGCATCTCCTGACACAATTCCTTTTCCCACGATGTTTCTTGGAAGCTCTAGCAACTTTGCACAACCCCCCTTTCTCCTTCGGCACATTTGACAGCATAGGAATGAAAAAGACAAAAATGTCAGTTTTGCCATTGGGACAATTTTTTTTATTCTAGCCACTGCAGTATATTAGGACAAAATATATGCCCCATGCCACTTTTTCCAAGCAAAATGTTCATGTTCTAGTTGTCAGTAGCTGGCCCCACTTGGGAGAAAATGAAATTTCTTTCACTGAGAGAATGCTGGCATTCAAAGAGCCAACGGCACACACAGGATGTTATTTTTTATTCTACTTTGTGTTTCCTCGTCTGGGTGTCTGGATGGAGAACACACTTGATTCTGCCCATACACTTACTCCTTCAGACCTATCACATTTTTGTCTCCCACAACAACCTGGAATTCTTGTGGGGTCAGAAAATACTCTACGAGTCACACAATGCAAGTTTGTTTATGCGCGTACTTGCGAATAAATCTCAACAGTGCCATGAGTCCATTGAGGAAAGGCAGATTTATTTCTTTTTAAACTATGGGGATTGCATCTAAATTTACATTGCTATTCACATACAAATTATATTCCAGTCTTGGCCCAGTTTGCATGTGAAGTATTTTCTCATTTTTTAGTGATGCATAAATGGCTACCCCATGATGACGATGCGTTGAAACTGCTGCTGGAGCAAGACTAGGTTGCAGTATGGAGTCTTCAGTTCTGGCCCTCATGAATCACAAGACTTGCATCTAAGCAAATGCATTAGAGATATCATGTGATTAAAAGTCTACAGGTTTGCAGTATAAGACTGAACAAGTGTACATGTTCTGTAATTAACGGATAAAATGGTGTGTGTGGGGAGGGTCGGTCTTCTATACCAGTGGTCCCCAACCTTGGGCCTCCAGATGTTTGTGGACTTCAACTCCCAGAAATCCTGGCCAACAGAGGTGGTGGTGAAGGTTTCTGGGAGTTGTAGTCCAAGAACATCTGGGGGCCCAAGGTTGGGGACCACTGTTCTATACCGTTATGAACCTATAGTAAAAATTTCAAGGTATGTGAATGTTCAAGAAGTGGTTTATCTTTGCCAACCTCCTGTGGGTTTCTACAGCTGGGCAGGGATTTGAACCCAGGTCCTCCACCAACACTACACTAGCTCTCTAAATTGGATTTTACTAACAGTTCTCCAGTCTGATGCAAGTGTAATGAAATACACTCTGATCTGTAAAGGAGTCTGTTCAGTTAGAGGAAGCTTTCTATTTCACACTTTCTCTGCAACCTGTACTTCAATCAATAAGCAAGTTTCAACATGTTTATGAGTTACTCATAAACATGTCAAAATCCACTAATATGTTCAAATAGAGGCTGCAGAAAAAAATATGACATGTCATAGAAATCCTCCCCCTACCAATCTCCTGGATAAACTACTGCAGTGCTTTCTACTTGGGGCTTCCCTTGAGACTGACTACAGTGGGTCCAGAATGCTGTTGCCAGATTGGTGACTGGTGTGCGCAAATTTGATCACATTTCTCCAGTGTTGGCCAACCTCCACTGGTTACCTGTTATGTTCTGACACTCACACATAAAGCCCTTCATGGTTTGGGACCATGTTACCTGCCTTAGCATCTTTCCCCAATATCACCTGCCTGACCCACTAGATCTTCTCAGGCCAGGCTCCTCCGTGTCACTCCAGCCTATGTTGTGGAATCAACTCCCAGAGGAGCTATGCCTTGCCCTCTCCCTGTCCTCACAAAGCATATTTCCCCAGTATCACCTGCCTGACCCACCAGATCTTCTCAGGCCAGGCTCCTCCGTGTCACTCCAGCCTATGTTGTGGAATCAACTCCCAGAGGAGCTATGCCTTGCCCTCTCCCTGTCCTCATTTAGGAGGCAGTTAAAACCACTCCTATTCAGGGAGGCCTTTCACGTGGACCCTCCGGCTGAATGCTTTGCCTCTAGTCTTGCCTCACTCTGAAAATGGGTTGCGTCATTGTTTGAGTTTTTAGACTATGTTTCTGCTATTTATGTTGTATTCAGTTCTGTGTCGTTCGTTTTAACTGTCCATAAACTGGCCAGATTAGTGCTCCAGCACTAATGAGGTGGTATATAAAACAATTATATACCTGTATATTATATAAATCATTATATAATTAATTAATATAATGCAATTAGTGGATTGGTAAAGTCTCCTGGTTTACAGAAAAAAAGAAGTGATCAGAGGATGTCGAAGTCTATTTTTCTCTTTGTTCTGCTGATCTATATTTTAAATGAAAAATCGTGGATCATCCAGTGCAGGTAGACTTTTCTTCTCAGATCATCTCAGAAATCTCCAATTATCCACAATGGTCAGTTTTATCTAAATTACTGTTATTAGCTATGAAATAAGCTAGAATCATAAACTGTGGTTTGAAATTGTTTCAAGAGCCTGGCTTGTTCTGAAGCTGGTTCCTGTTTCCTGATCTAGACAAATGAAACAACTACAGTGGACCCTCTACTTATGGAATTAATCCGTATTGGAATGGTGGCTGCAGGTCGAAAAGTCTGTAGGTCGAATCTCCATTGACCTACAATGCATTGAAAACTGATTAATCCTGTAACCGGCCGTTTTTGTTCCATTTTTGTTTTTTTCTGGACTGTAAGTCGATTCTCTGGCTGCAAGTCGAACCTAAATTTTGCAGCCAGAGAAGTTTGTAACTCGAAAAGTCTGTTAGTCAAGCCGTCTGTAAGTCGAGGGTCCACTGTATGTCTATGTTATTGTCTGCAGGCTTCCAAGCTCATACTTCTGGCCATTATGCTGTGCCAGCTGCCTATTTATGTGAGGCACCTGGAAGAAGAGGCCAGCTTCTCTCATACTACAGGGAGAAGTTGTGTCTGCCAAAATTCCTCCTTCTTCCTATCTGTAGAAAGTATGGAAGCCCGGTCCACTGTAAATTAAGAAACTCCCAGATCTTGGTTCCTGCAGCTGGTTAGACAACTTGGTTGACCAGAAGTGACTTAACCGCATTCCCCAACATGCCAGGAATAGTTTCTTGAAAGTGAAACAACAAGAGTTAAATATGGGGGAAACTGTGAAGGAAGAAAAATGTTTGTTTTGCAACACCAAGAATTTCCTTTGTCGTGATTCTAGATTTTGAATGGGTTAAAATACAAAACACTTGGTGAAAAGTGCTCATAATAACACTCTCCTCCAGGCAACCTCCCGTGTTGTTGATCACAAATATTTTGCTGTTGGGCAAAATAAGATCTTTAACTATTGATTTCCCCCTTCCCTTCAATAATGCTAACAGTATCTGTCCAGTCCTGATTTGAAAGCAGGAGGGAGTCTGACAGGAAATAAGTTTGGGAATATGGGAAATGAGACAACACAGAGAAGGCTGCCACTAACAGCAACTTTTTCTAGGTGATTGCTTTTGTTCCCTGCCTTGTAGTCTCTGTTGTATTGTATAAGATCCTTCCTTATCCACTGAAGTTAGCCTTGATTTTATTGGCCTCATAGAACTACTCCATTTCTGCAAGCTGGAGGAAATTAGCTAGGTGTGCACTGCTGCCTTC